AAAAATCAAGCCATCAAACTATGGCCTGAAAGCCAGCTATCTGTTTTGGTTAAGATTTTATTAGAACCAGGACTGGATTAGGGAGGAAAGTGTAAATTCAGGGCTAGATTTTTTTTTTTTTAAGTACTCGAGATTAAACTCAGATTAAACAAAGCTACAATCTCAGAGTCCTTTTGATTTTTAAATTTTGAGACACAGTCTTACTACTTTGCCTAGGCTGGCCTCAAATTTGCAATCCTTCTGCCTCAGCCTCCTGAGTTACTAGGATTACAGGCCTGCACCACCATGGCTATCTTCATGTATTACTGTTTTGTTCATTTCAAATTTTGCATAAATTTTGTTTTTTAAAAATGTTTACCACAATATTGTTTTCTGTGATTACTGAGTTTTTTGATGCTTCCTTATATTTTATGTCCAAAGTAAATGCATCACTTGCCTCACCCTACTTGTTGTCTTGACCTGGTCCAAGTCATACCTTATCTCCAAGCTGTACTTCTGCAGTAGTTTCCTAACTAGTTTGTCCACTTCTAACTCTGCTAACCATCTCATATCCATTGTCCACGTGGCAGCCACTGTGATCTTTGGAAAGAAAAGGTAAAGTCATGTCACTCCTTTGCTTTACTATTCAATTGTCTCTCATTCTACTTGGAATAAAATCCAGGTTTCCCATAAAGTCCTGCATAATATGAATCTCAACTTTTTCCTTAATCCCATTCCTACCACTCTGCCTTGCACTAACTTTATTGGTTAACTTTCCATTTCTGGAACATGGTAAACATATTCCCACATTGGGGTCTTGGTACAGGTCATTCTTTATTTTTWAATTTTTTTTTAATTTTTTAAAAATTTTTTAGTTATCGGCAGACACAACATCTTTGTTTGTATGTGGTGCTGAGGATCGAACCCAGGCCGCACGCATGCCAGGCGAGCCCGCTACCTCTTGAGCCACATCCCCAGCCTCAGGTCATTCTTTAAATGTTTAATCTCTTCTAATCCTTTCAATCTGAGATTCAGTTATCTCTCTGAGAGGCTTTCCAATATAAAGTAGTCTCCTCCTGATATTTCTTTTCCCTTTTAATATTTTGACAACATACAAGTATTTTGCTTATTATTTTGTTTGTTGTCTGTGTTTTCAAACCCTAAATCTTTGAGAGAGCCTAAGGCTTTGCATACTATCATATATCCAGTATTCAAGACTTCAATATTCACTAAATGATTAAAACTAAAAAATGATAAACAATAATAAAACCCAAAATTAATAGGCCTTTYGGGAAAAAGGCCCACAAATAAAGTGGCATTAGTGTTTATTAATATTAAAGCAGTCTGACAATAACAAGAGACATAAAAGTRATTATTTATTTTGTCCAATATCACAAGAATATAACTTAAAAAATGGTATTTAAAATATATATTAGTAATTTAAAAAGGTTAAAAAAATGGGAAACCACCCACAACAATAATTGCCTTSTAAACCTCCCTCGTTCTCATTTTCTGTTTCCAACCTAGGTTATCCCATATGTCCTTTCTATGGCAGAATCCAAGAAGGTAAGCATTATCACTGGGGAAAACAAAAACCAAGCTGGGCAAAATACTACTGTCATAATTTTCTTTCTTTATTTTTGGTGACTCAGGGCCTAGTACATGCTAAACACACACTCTACCACTGAGCTATACTCCCAACCACTTACCAGGATTTCTAAATTTACCAGTCTCAAGTGGGAAATCATTATTTCCCTAAACGCCTGCTGTTTTACTTCAGAAGTTGTTCTCTTACCTTCTCCAGATGCTACTGTAACACTCACCATTCTCCTTTTACCAAAGAAGTCACCATCTATTAGGGCATTTAAGCCAGAAAATCTGAGTCATTCATAACCAGTTTATCACCAAGTCCTATTATTTTGGTCTCAGACATATGTCATGAATCCATCACCTTTTTTCTACCTTCACTGTCACCACAATAAAAGCTACCATATGGTTGACTGAAATATTCTTTCAATTTGTTATTTCATTTTCTTTTTAGAACTTTGGGTTGAATACAGGGGCCTTTTACCACTGAGCTATTTCCTAGCCCTTTTTATTTTAGATTTTGAGAGAGGTCTCACTAAGTTACTGAAGCAGGCCTTGAACTTGTGAGCCTCTTGACTCAGTCTCCCAAGTTGCTGATACAGTAGTATTCCATTATAGGCATGTACTACCTTGTTCGGCTTAGTTTTTCCATTTTCATTCTTGCCATTCTCTGATCCATTCTCCACACAGCAGAGTGATCTGTTTTTTTCTTTTTTAAAAAGGATAAAATGGATTCATACACATAAATTCCCTCTACCCCTTTTTAATTATAATCCCTCTACCTCTTTTTAATTATAATCCTCCTAGTAACTGACAACACATTAAATATTTGATGTGTATGAATCCTTCCACTATTTTCTGTTATTATATAGAAATGTATTCATGTGGTTTTGATAATTGTTATATGGATAAGTCTATATGAAATTATGCACATACACATTAAAACATAAAATATGTAAGAAATTGAGGCACTGGTCTGAGAGGGTAGTAACTCTTACTGATTAGTTGGTGACCTAAGAACTGTCACTTCTCTAATGTCAGTCTCCAACAATGAATGATTTTCAAGAYAGGAATGGCAATGCCCCCTAGTGTTGGATACTCTGGGAGGTACTGTTGACCTTTAGAGTACAGAAACCAAGTAGCTAGGCTTCTTGCAAAATTTGGTCCTGTTCCTCAGGAAGGAAACTATTTTGTATCTCACATGACTATTAAATGTTCCACCATAGGTGAAAAATAGTTCGTAATTATCTGTACCTAAAATATATAACTTAATTTACGTATGAACACAAAGTTGTTTTTGTTTTTAATTTTAACAGAAAATATTTTAGGAATGCAACTATAGTACAATGAGGACAGATTAGTGTTATTCCAYAAAGGCAGCCAAAACATCATACTGTGTCAAGTTAATAATATAGCTTTCACATTCATGGGGATTTTATTAATAAATGCTAGCACATGATAAATTCATTATATTTTCTAGAATAGTCATGCTTGACACTTATGTTAAAACATAACTTTATTATAAATTCTTTTCTTTGTACTTCAAAGAGTACAATTTTGATTTAAAACAAAATAATAAATGTAAATAGTTTATATTACCTTTGAATTTCACTTCAGGCTCATCAAGGGGACATTATGAAAATATTTACTTAAAAAAAGAGGTATTAGTCAGSCATGGTGGGGCACACCTGTAATTCCAGGGACTTGGGAACATAAGGCAGGAGGATCACATATTCAAGGCCAGCCTCAGCAACTTAGTAAGACCTTGTCTTAAAAAAAGGGGGGGAGGCTGATGTAGCTCAGAGATAAAGAGCCCCTGGATTCAATCTCTGATACTAATTTATTAAATAATAATAAAATAAAATAGAGGTATCAGTTGTCAGCAGATTAGGCGATGCTTAAGATCCCTTCCAGTTCTTATGTTAAACAATTCTTACTGGTTGAATCTTTAATAATGGAAATATTCTTTTTTTTTCTTTTTACTACTTTGTTTAGCCACTATAAACTAGTTATATGTATATACATATGTATGTATATATAAGCACATCAAAAAATACAGGTCACCTGTACTGAACATTTAGGCATTTAGTTACCTAAAGGTGAATCCAAATGATTTCCCAAGTTTCCTTGCCAGATGATCATTTCATGGCTCTATAATTTCAAAATTATGGTAAAATGCATATTATTCATATATTTTCACCAGATATCTCTAGATTTGATGAAGAAGCTGAAACACAGAAAACTGATTTTTTTTTTTTTTAAAGAACAAAATGAGGGCTTCTTATTATGAGATTAGATTCATGGATTTAAAATTGCAACCTCTCCATACTCCTCTCTTCCCGGTTTAATTTTTTTTTCCTTAGAATATGCAATTTTAATCATGTAATTTTAAAATCGATTGCCTCCYCTCCTCTCTCCCTAACCACAACACACACTAGAATATGGACAGGGAATTTTGTGATTTTGCTTACAGCTGTACTRGCAACGTAGTGCTGGGCACCCAGGAGGAGGTAAATGAGTATGGGTGAACACACGCAATAAGTAAAACCGACTGCTTTGAGCGCCACTTTCACCAGAATTCTAGGAGGCAACCGAAAGGGATCGATAAATTGACTAATTTTTGTGATTGAGGATTCCTGGGTACTGCATTCTTGTGCTCTTTGGGATGTGTTGAAGTGTGCGGAGTTTATGAATTTGACACACACGGCTGTGCAGGCAGGACTCCGAATTAATAATAATTTGCATCAGAGCCTGCAACTGTTATCAAATTCACATAAACAGAAACKCATGTTACTTTAAGTGCATGGGTCTTCCGTCCTCTTCGGCAATGTGCACACRACAATTTAGGGTATTTCTTCACGGGAGGTTTTACGGTTAAGAATGGGATCAAGGTTGATGGTTCCAGAAAGCGCAAACTGGTTAACCGAGAAACGAATTAACGCTCACTTTTCTCAGTAAGACGCCAAGCCAGAATCAGACTCTCGCTCTAGATCAAATCCCGCGCTCTTCTTACCCCCAAACTGCCTCCATCTCCACCCCGCCCCCTTTAGATACCTATCTGTGGTGGGCGGGGCAGAGAAGAGACGTTCTCGGCTCCCCCAAATTGGTTAAGTCTGCCCCGAGTTTTGGTTTCTCACATTTCAGCAAACACTGAGGAAACAAAAATACTACCGAAAACCACCGACCAAATGTCACTGAAGCCGCACACGCGGGAGAGAAGAAAGCAAAACACGAAGAAAGGCGCTGGTCCCGCAGCCACGTGAGGTGGGCGATTCCAGCTGCCCTCTCAAGTGAGGACTTCAACTCCCGGCTTGCCCCTGGGCGGTTATTCTCCCAGGACTACAACTCCCAGGGTGCTGCGGGCGCGGCCGCCGCAACCTCCCACTCGGCCGCCCGCCGCTGGTCCCGCCCCTCCCCCGCCCCTCCCGGTCGGATCGGCGTGCGCCTGCGCACCGGAGGCCGGAGGAGTCTTACCCTAATGTAAGATGGTGGCCCGTCTGGCTGTGGAACCCACCGAAAGCTGAGAGTCTCTCTCTCAGCCGTAAAGGTCGGACTCGCTGAAGCAATCAGGCTCGGTTCTGAAGAGTTTTTCCCCCGACACTCGTTCAGTGGTCTCTTGTGAGGACGCGGCAGCGCGTGGAGTCGGCTAAGGGAAAAGCGAGGCAAGGCAGGCGGGTGAGTCTATGCGGGGTTGGGCTTAGGGGAAACCCGGGGCTGACCGGCTACGAGAGAGCGGAGGCTTCGCTGGGACTGTGCAGGCCGCACCCCCCTTTCTCCCCACCCCCCGCCTCATCTTCACCCTCCTCCTCCTCCTCGACCTTCCTCCTCCTTCTCTTCCTCCCTCTCCCCTCTACGCCACAGCAGTTACCACCAGGAAAAGGGAGCGGGGCAGGAGGCAGCGCGGCGGCCAGCGCCGATTCTCTTTCGAGAATTTCTTCTATTGGGGAGCCGAGGCGGCTTTTGGTTCTCAGCTTTCCCCCACATTTTTCTAGGACCAGGATTCTTAGGTCTCAGTCCTCCTTGTTTCCCCAGCTCCCTTTCCCCTCTCTGACGTCCTTTCCTGCTGGCCCCGGTCTCCCAAGACCAAAGCCATCACTTCCACGCTGACCCGTGTTGCTGCTGCTCGTTAAACCCACTGCTCATTGCCCACTCGTCCTGCTTCTTGTTTTTTGCTCCACTGCTACCGCTCTGGAGTTAGCCTTTGCCCCCCTCTGGTGCTTGCAGTCAGCCCCCAGTCTCCTTGCCAGGCTGGAGCCTCTTCCTATTTGCAGTCTTTTCCTTTAGCCACATCTGTCATCTTAAAGCTTCCCCTAAGTATCTAGATTATGCTGCTGCTCCTCCTAACCCACCTGTTTCTCAGTCTTCTTGAGAATTGTCCGTTCCTCCCCTCTTTCCTATGCAGATTATTTCAACACACCTTTCCAGAAAAAAGGGATGCCCCGAGTTGGTCCTTGAAAAGTAAAGGAAGTTGGTAGGTGAATGAAGTGAGGTAGGATACTATTAAACGTTATGAGTAAAGATTTTTATTCATGCGACTCAGGAGCCGCGTTTTGCTTTCAGTGATCTATTTGTCGATTATTCGCTCTGTTGGGACTTGGCTGCTCCCTTTCCCTTTTTTCATTTTGGGCCTTCTCGCCTTACCAAGTGTTCTTCTGAATTGCCTCCCCTCAGGACACTTAATGGGTCTCCTGATTATAAATATTAGTCTAAGCATTTCAAAATATGATAAATCTGGCACACACATTATATCTGTAAAYTCCACAAGCAAATATAAATGATATTTTAATAATGTGTGTTACAGATCTCTTTTATCTTAAGACTCAATTATTGACTGAGTTATTATATTAATGTTCAGCTGAATTGATGACATTTTGTTTATGGTTTAAATGGAAATTTCCTCCGGCTAACATCAGATTTACTTAGTATTTTTGGATTTAGGAAGTTTTCTTCTTTGATATTTTTAGGGTGGTAGCTATCTGAATAAATTGTCTTGCAAAAACTTTAGGTATATAGGCAAAAGAAAAACATTTTGTTTTGGAAAACTTAAATCCATTATATTTTTTCTATAGAAAAGAAGGGGGCTGGGAAAAGATATCACAAAGCTGTGCATACATGTATATTTAGTGGTACTGTCATTGTTATTTACAGTAAAAAGCAGAAACAGAAGCAAGAAGTGGCTTACGATATGCATGTTTTAGTAAAAGTAAAATTGAAATGTGACTAACGGCATAATGGGAAGAAAGAGCCTTTGCTATAATAGAGCACTTTGAAATAAAGAATTACTAGAAAAGCAAACAAGATTATCTAGATCAGATACACACACATCAAGTTTGAACATCAACAAGACATTGTGTTTTTAATATATTTGTAAAAATCTTTAAAGTTATAATAACAATATTATGCAGTAATCTCTCATTGGCAAAAATAACTTCTTAAGTGTAAATTCAAATRCACTTTAGTCACTTCTGCACATTACTAGATTATTATAATCATGTATTTTGCATGTGAAACTTGAGTATCATCTTACATTTGAAGTTATAGTCCTTGAGTGTGAAAAATAGTCTTTTTTTAACCAGTGTAAACTAAGGTTAGAAAAGCTGTTTATAGCTGGGTGCAGTGGAGCACACCTATAATCCTAGATACTTGGGAGGCTGAGGCAGCAGGATCACAAGTTCAAAGCGAGCCTCTGCAATTTAGTCAGACCCTAGCTAACTTAGCAAGACCCTGTCTCAAAATAAAAAATAAAAATGGCTAGGCAGTCCTCATACCAAAAAAGAAAAACTGTTTATAAAACTTATTTCCTTTCAGCCACTTAAGTCCCTGTTTGAAGGAACTAAATAAATCCTTACTTTCTGAGAATTGGAAGCAATTTATATAGCAATCCCTGTCCTAAGTTATAACTTGAAGTTTTGAAAAAAGTGTTGCTTCCATTTAATTCATCAGGAGCAGCAAATTTAATAACTACTCTTCGACTCCAGGTAAAAAATATACGTTGTTGGAAATGCTTGCCACTTTGAACAGTTCTAACATAGGTCTAGAAACCCTTGGCAGTTATACTTGGCTGAATCCTAAGCAATGTGTTCTAAGGAGAGGACTGTTTGTCTGACAGAAGGGGATGAATGATTTTAATACATGTTTTCTTTTGTAAAGGTACTTGACTCACTAAATATTTTCTTAAGTAATTTTTCCTTTTCCATACTTTTTGCCTATAGACATCAAATTTTTAGTTTCAGCCCTCTAAAGTCAAAATGAATTTATTAGGGATCTTTAATATGTCTAAAGAAGATATATAAAGTGACACTTTGATAGGAAGTAAGAAGCTGAAGCTTCTAAATATTTTTGTATGGTTTAAGATTTTAGTTGTAACATCAACATTGTAGCTTCATACTTTTGTGATTTCTTTTGATAATTTGGAATACTTTATGTCAGTTCAGTAGTTGAATTCTTCAAATGAATAGATTACTTGTAAAGGTTTTAAACATGAATTGCTTAAAGTTGTCTTTCTATAAAATTTGTTTTTTGAAATTATATAAACAGATCTTTAATTCTACTAGGATGAGACAGTTAAATGGCAAAATACAAGAAAATAAAATGATTTTGTAATGCTCTTCATCTTCAGTTTAAATTGGAGTACTAGCAATAGTTCATAATTCATTACTTTGTAAAAGAAAGAAGGAGTCGCTTAATGATGAACTACTAGCATTAAGAGCGTTTTATTTCATTAATTTTTTTTTTGTGATGCTGGGGATGGAGGCCGGGGCCTTGCACATACTAGGCAAGTGCTCTCAGGGGAGTATTATTTTTAAAATGACTTTATATGTCTTAAAAGAATGAAAACTAACTTCTCAGTTTAAGCAGTTTGGTTTTAAGAGTCTTCCCTTTCTACTCCCCCTTATTCTCAATTTTAAAATGAAGCTGTAATCTTCATTTTAATGAATTATTTTATGTGACTGCAGAGAATTCTTGATTAATCTATTTATACTCAGTCTTTTTGTTTTTATAGTCTATATAATTGGGAGAGAAAGTTTCAAATGGAAAACTTCAGCCTCTGCTGATAATTGAGTTGGTTCTTTGTCAGTACCTATAATTCTGTGTTGACTTCTAGTTAAAGAAGTTACATTCAGCTCATTTGGTTCTGAAGAAAACAGTAGGGAACTAGGTTATAGAGGATTTTGCTGTTCTAGAAACAGTATGACTAGAATGTACTACATACTTTTCTCAAAGGATTTCTTAATCTAAATGGAACTTGTAAATGGTTTTCATCCCACTGGAATAGCAGGTATTTGATAAAACTTGTTAACACATTCTGACATTTTACAAATTTCATGTTATCTCAGTTATTAGGAAAAATCTACACATATCAATTCTTGAACAGAAAGTAGCAATATCCCTGATAATTTCAAAGTTTCATATTTTTTCCCCTCAAAAGTTCAGAGTACACAAATGATAAAGATAGCATAATTTACTCAGTTATTTTTGTAATGCAAGAAAAGGAGATAGGTGGGACTTTTTAATCAGATATAATATTATTCTAAAAGTATTCATCAAAATTATTTTTTATCTTGTTTTTTGGACTTCTTCACTGGAAAAGATTGATAAAATTCAAAATTTTCAAATGTAATATAATCTAGTGGGTTTTTTCCAAACATGTTTATGATATGATTCTTTATTATTTAATCAGAAAGTTGATTATGGAAAGTTCAACACTCTTTTGGCCATGTGTATTTTATTTTATTTGCTGCTGGAAATCAAACCCAGGACCTTGTGCTTGCTTATAGAGCTTGGTGGGGGTTACTTCTGAGCTCTTACCTTTGCTACATTCTGAGTCCCTCTTAAATTTTAGTAACATGTTTTGCTTTTTTATCAGCAGAGGAAAACCTGACTTAAAGGTAGTACAAATATAAGGCAGTATRAGTATGACTTTATTTTACTTCTATGAAGTTTGTTTGTTTTGTAGTACTAGGGATTGAACCCTGGGGCACTCTACTACTGAGCCCAGTCTTTTTTTTTGTTTTGTTTTGATACAGGGTCTTGCTGAATTGCTGAGGCTGGCCTTGAACTTGGGATCCTCCTGCCTCAGCCTCCCAGTCCCTGGGATTACTGACATTAGCCAGTGCATCCGGCAGATATTGATTGCATTTTGAATAGTAGACTGCAGTATCAAATGGGGTGGAGCATTCCTTACCAGCAACAAACAGATACATTGTCATTAAAACAAATATCTGGAATTTCTTAAGYATGTTTTTCAGTCCTTGGAATACCAAGAAAGTTATTTTCAGATAATTTAAGAACCTATTAATTCCCTGTTAGAGCATCAGGTGTCTTCAGATTGTGAGTCTCCTGAAATAACATTGGCTGATTTGGGTTGTTGAACAATTTTTTTCTCCTTTTTAAAACTTAAAATAAATTTCCTGCCAGGCACTGTGGTGCCCATCTGCAATCCTAGCAACTTGGGTTGATGACAAGGAGGATTGAAAGTTAGAGACCAGCCTCAGCAACTTATCGAGACCCTGTCTCAAAAAATAAAAGAAGCTGGGGATGTATCTCAGGGGTAAAGTGCCTTGGGTTCAATCCCCAGAACTGCAAAAAATACAAAATTTTTGCTTATGATTTTTTTGCATTGTTGTGTATTTTCAGTTATTATTTGGGAGGACTATTTTGTGGATGCTGAAATT